CAGTACTGATTCACTCATACAGCAGGCTTATCAACAGTAGGGTTGCAGTGATATACTGGTTTAAGGTATACCATGATATAAAAGTTGATGTTATCATACTGTGGACATTTGCTCATCTATGACATTGAAAAAAAAATGCAACTGGACGGCTAATCTCCTCTTTATATTAGCTATTTTCAAAGGGGAGACTTTTTACACATACTGTCATTAACAAAATATTTTCAAGTTTCAATTATAGTAAAAAAAAAAAGAAAATCTCATACTGTTGTAACCCTAATCAACAGTGGTGTAATGGAGGGTATACACAGGTATACAGGGTATACCCACCTTTTTTTGGCTGTTTATCAGCCAAAAAGCCATTGGAATATTTAGGAGAGTATACCCTCTTCCTTCTCAGTGAAACTACCCTTGTATGTAGTACAGGGCTTGACAACTTTTACTAATAAAAGAGCCATTATTGGCCAAAAAAAGATAAAACAAAATCTGCCTGGAGCTGCGAATAGGTCGAAATGAGCATTCATTAATATGATTTACTACAAGGTGGCTACTCTGCAGTGGGCTACATATAGTACTTTAACTTTGCAGTGTTGGTAGTAAAAGCAAATGAATCTGTCCACACACTATTAAATCCTCTATTTTCCTCCAAGAATTTTCCTTTTTTGGATTTGGAATCCATGGCTAGCCAACTAGAGAGACTCCAGGCTAGCCCCTGCTACTGATGTTCAGCAAAATTAAGAGGAAAAGGCACCAGGTCGCAGATGTATGAAGCACATTTTAGTTGATGAAAAATACAACATTTTTACAATTGATCTTTTGCTATGCCCCGCCCCTTTGTGATGGTCCGTCAAGCTGTCAGACTAAGCATGGAGCCTTCACTCTAACTAACTGCATTCCCTGAAGAAATATTATCATATTTTCGGAAAAATGAAAGAGGGGTCTACAGTCTGTGTTTGAAGGATATATCCAGGATGTCAAACTGACTCAGCAGCAACAACAGGTTAAAAAGACAAAGATAGTTAGAAGCTAAAGCTTAACTATAGGCTACAGTTCACAGTGTAAAAGTGAACCACCACATCACTGCTGATCGCCACACAAGACAATGAATATAAAGGGAAACTTTGCTGATATTGAACCAGCTGTGTGGCATCGCAGTATGTGCAGATAAACCGTGTGTTAAAAAATAACCATTATTCATTTCCAGATATTTTAATATCAAAGCCACCGGGAGCAAAGAACCGCATGTGGCTCCAGAGCTGCAGATTGCTGACCCCTGACCTAGTAGTAAACCTATCACTGCTTATCAATGTTGTAAAAGTGACAATTACAACAATATTCTCCTACAGCACCTTAACAGCCTCCAACAGCAGCACAAGAGAACTGCTTGAAATCTGAGCTTCAGCTTTCAAACATTATGTAACATGATGTCCAGAATTGCAAAGTCCCAGGATGAACCAGAGGGGAAGATTTTCAGCTCTGCAGGATTTACAGCTAAGAGCATATTTTCCATCTTATGTCTTGTTAATTTTAGGTTGATTCTTTACAGTGCCTTTTGCTATTTGTATTTACTACAGCTACAACAATTAGTCGATTAATCTGTTAACAGAAAATGTACTATTTCACACTTCTCACATGTGAAGATCTGCTGTTTTTCAATGATGGGAAACTGAATCTTAAAAGTTCTTTTTTTCAGATGGTCAAGCAAAATGTCAACTTTTTAAAAAAATTACAGGGAAATAATAATACACAAAGCATAGATCACAACCTGTTATGACAATATGGTCTCACAAAGAAAAACGAAACAAACAAAAACAAACCAAAAAAGTTAGACTTACACAGACCAACGTGGGTAAAATAAATGACAAATAAAAGTTAGTAGGATCAAATCAGTAATTCAAATGATTAAATTGACAGCACTAGTAACATAATTAAATTAACATACATTAAAATAATAATCCACTGGAGCATTTTTTCTCCCATTTCACGTTAAGCTGTGCTAAATGTTAACTTGGGCTCTGAGATATTGTGAGGGGCATTTTTCCACTAACCAATATATCAGTTAATCAGCAAATTAATAGACACTAGAATTAATAGAAAATCAAAATATACACTGAAAACAAATTACCGGTACAACTTTAAACAAACTTGGTTTGTTTGGACAATCATTTGTTGCACAGTTAAAAAAACAAACAAACGGACAACTGCCCTTATGTGCAAATATTAGTAGGCTATTAGTTTAAGTGAAAGTAAAGGTTTGTTCAGTAAAATGAGCTGTAAACAAATGTTCGTACGTATCGTATTCTGTCACTTGAAAAACCTCTAATTCAGTTTTTTGGGAAGTTTCCTTTTTGTACTGTAGATACATGTATAGAAAGACAAAGACAAAAGTGAGTGAATTCATAACATCACATAAAAGGTTAATACAGGGAGCTCTTTTCATTCAGATTGAAATTAAGGAGGCACTACACTTATTTTAGTGTATTGTTTGTGAGGAGCACTGCTCAGCCTGTGTAAACAGTTGTATAAAATGATGTGTGACTCTGAAGGGAATTTTATAAAGTTTGGAAAACTAAAGGTGCAATAAGCTCAGAGACCTAAATTTTAATAGTCTTGTGAAGGTGTGCTCACACTAAAGGCAAAGCATATTTTCACCTCATGTTACTCATGCTGCTGGAGTGTTTTTTTGGAGTGTTTTCCAACTGGCACATATTTGCCATTAACAGCTGTGCTAACTAACTGGGGAGGGCAGCTAACAGCTAACTTGATGATAGATTGGTAGATTGGCCTACATCAGGGGTGTCAAACTCATTTTAGTTCATAGGGCTTATTCAGCCGTATTTGATCTCAAGTGGGCTGGACGAGTAAAACCACTGTAGAATAACCTATAAATAACAACAACCTTTACATTTTTTTCATTTTCGTCTAGTGTAAACAAGTACAAGTACATTTTTAAAAACATTTTTCCATTCAGATAACAGATGATGATCAGCCTGAGATATCTCAAGAAAAAAAGTGCAATGTCAGCAATATGTCTCAGTTTTTTTGTCTTTACATTTTTCCATACATTTCCACTCTTTTGCAGTAATGTTGGCATCACCACACCAAACTAAAGTGGAAGCTATTGAGGAAGCAGGTTAAGTTATCCGTGCCTTACAAACCATTTACATACCTATATTAATATAGGCCTAGTCTGCCGGGGGACCTCCTATGATACACTGAGCCCCTTCTCTCCTTCTCTTCTTCTCTCTCTCTCGCTCTTAGATTCTGAAAAGTGTTTTTTTCTTCATTTGCTAACATTCATGTCCTATTACTGCATGTCACTAACTCGGCTTCTTCTCTGAAGCCTTTTTGCTCCACTGTCTCGCAGGTTCCCTTGAATCGCGGCTACACCTGGATCATGTGTTGTGGTTACACTGCTGCCGTGATCCTGCCTGATGCCTCCTACTACTGCTATTATGATTAATCATACTTCTACAATTATTATACACGTATGATTATTATTGTCACAGATGTATGATCATATATCAATATATACTTATAACAATACTATTATTATCATTATTATATTATCACTAAAATCAGTGTTTTGTAGTTGTTGTCATCACTGTTTGCCGTGCATCTCTCTCTGTCTCTGTCTGTCTCTCTTTCTGTATCATTTTGTCATACGGATTACTGTAGATTTATTATGATGATCTCTTGTGTACACACAGCATCTATTGCACTTCAGTTGCTCTTCCTGAGGTTTCCACCATTTTTTTCCAGGTAAAATGTTAAACGGCACGGGATTTTGTGGTAACCACACATTATTATTGCAATATTCAGAATTAGAGTTACAAAGTGCTTTACATGTCAATAATTAAAACAGCCATTAAAACAACAACAGAACTAAGAGAACTCAAGAGAACTGATAAAAACACTTTACCGGTAAAAACAGAGGAAATCAAAGACAATTTAAATGAACTTAAAACTCAGGTAAAATAAGGAAAGGCTTTCCGATAAAAGAATGTTTTTAGAAGGGATTTAAAAGAGATCACTGATTTGGCCGACCTGATTTCCTCAGGCAGACTGTTCGAGAGCTTCGGGGCCATGACAGCAAACGCTCTGTCCCCTTTAGTTTTCAGCCGAACCTCTGGAACAGACAAAAGACCTCTGCCCAATGACCTCAAAGATCAATCAGTGAAGTCTTAAAATCTATTCCAAATAACACGCCTTGAGATTTTGGCTTGCGCTGGTGTGGCTTAGGCACAAAAAGATTGAAAACCACTGATCTAGTGATTGGACCCTTTGGCGGCCGGTTCTGGCCCCCGGACCACATGTTTGACACCCCTGCTCTACATACAAAAAGTGTCCGAGTTTTGATGACACTGCTGTGATTCTGTAACTAAAAACCTCTTTGACACTTTATGTTTTTAGGAGGGAATTTAATGTGAGATCTATTTCATAGACTATATCTATTTCCGTGCGGTTGCTCGTATTTCCGGGTTGTGTTTTCACATGGTTGTAAAGGCGGTGCAAAGATACTGGCGGTGTTCATGTTGCAGGAACTGTGGGAGCTTGCGTCAGCCAGGAGGGACAACCACCCGCCGGTCGGTCCGTGGTTCCGAGGAGACAGGACATAACAATATGGACCCAAGCTGCGAAGAATAAAACTACTTTATATTTATATTTTAAACCAGAAGCGCCTTCTCCTCTCCAGAGCCGAGCCGGAGAGCAGGTTTAAAACTTCACTTTGCAGATCAGTGAAGTGTGTGAGGCGTTTGTGGACTCTCAGGGAAATTATCTGTACGCTGTAGTCGTGCAGCAGGACAGCAGCCAGATTACTGGTTACATCAAGGTGTATCCGTGTGAATGTCCACACAGAGCAAAGTGCAAGGTCTCCTCAGAGCTCAGATATGAGCTGCGACCAGCTCTAACCACTGCTCCTGTCTTTACCTCTGCAGCTAACTTAATGTGCCTTTTTACGCTTCTACTTTTTATAAGCTAGTTTTATTTTTGCACCGAAGATGTCGTGCCTGTTGCTGGGTGTCATACGAAGGTGAGTCATTGGGACTTTTTTTGTGATTTTTAAATCGTGTTTTACCTTCGTGAACAATACATTTCATTGTACTCGAGAAAGTTTAAAGAGAATATATGAGAATATGTGTCTGAATACACAACATGGCTACATGGTTGTGCCATTCATTCAAAATCTGCTATTCAAATGTATGTTATGTTATTTAGCCTAGTAAATGCAATTATGTAGCCTGTTTTTTTATATAACATATAGGTCCTACATACATAAAGTATTTAAGTATTGTGGACAACCAATTAATGTCGTCTGTTTTTTATTTCATACACATACATACAATATTTCCGTTTTCTGGATACAGGGTGTCTGCAGGTCCCTTAAAAGTCTTAAAATAAATTCAGTGTTACAACATTAAAAACCATTATAGTCTTAAATTTGAATTTGCAAGGTCTTAACTGCTACTAACATTTAATCTAATTTCATTTATACATCTTTTGATTTATTTTTGAAGCTTTTTTATGTAAAAGTCCACATTTTTAATGTTGCAAATCTTAAACAAAACCATATAACACAGTCATTATACTTCATACTTGCACATACCTGTTTGCAAAATGTAGATTGACTCAACTCACTCTAATAACCATATTCCTACATTACACTTACCTCTGCACATACCACATATATACTACTTACCTGCAATGCTGCGATACTTAAATAAGTAAAACATGATTTGTCCAAAAATTGGTCCTAAATTTGGTTTAAAGGTGTTTTGAAAGGGTCTTAAGAAGCATTAAATTTAACTGTCTGATACCTGCAGACACCCTGGGACAACCAATTAATGGAACCTGGTTTTTATTACACATACATCAAATGTATAACTATTGTGGACAATAGTAATACTAATGTGAACCCCTTTGGAATGATATTCACAACTTTTCTGAAGCACATTTTTTCAGGCACAGTTTGCACAAAATTGCCTCCATCTTGACCATTTGGATTCACTGTATTCTCATATTGTTGATGCTACCTATGTCTTTCACATAGAAATTTGCCATATGGGTTAAAAACCTGTAATCGCCAATTGTTAATACATCGTTGAATAGGAATGCATGATTGATATATATGTTTCCAATGAGAAAAGACCTGTGGCACTATACAGTCTTGTTAAATCTTCAGTTACTGTGCTGACAGCTGCCATAAACTTGTCCAACTTGATCTCAGAGACAAGCCTCAGATCAGATGACATTGAGCAAAGACTTGAGGGTGTCTCTGTAGATTAAACAACATTCCACATTTCGTATGATTTTTTTTTTTAAAAAAAGGCTGTCTTTCTGCATGCTTTCACCTCACTACTTTCCCCCTTCCAGGCTTTGTGATGACACCTCATCACACAGGGACTCTGGAGTCAATGTGAGCACTCCATGGCATTGTGTGTTTGTTCTTATTTTGTCATTAGGGATGCATGTGAGTGAGTAAGCGACTTACACCATGGTCGGGCATGTGTGTTAGTGACAGGGAGGCTCGTGCGGCTGTGCATTTTGTTTGTATTTCTGCTTGAGAGTGAGTTAATGGCTGGAGTCATCACTCCTCTATTTGCCTGAATGTCCTGGTGCGTGTTCTGTGTGTTTTTCCCTGAGCACTCGCTGTACCATGTGGGAGGAGAATGCATGCAGCACGTGGGCATGTTCTAAGTGATACTCCGGCTTGTTATTGCTTCATGTGTAGACTCTGCCCTAAAGAGGCTATTGACCAGGATCAGCATGAAGGGGGGAGTGTAGGCGTGTCTGGCTGTGGTGTGTGTGGATTGGCTTGCTGACTTAGAGGTGTGTTATCTGTTTCTTGACACCCCCTCCCCCCATCTGGATGACGTCCCTAATTTTAAAATTTGCACCCTTAAAAACATGGAGGCATCAGGAATGGGGGATGGGGTGAGGAATGGGGATGCACAGACAAAAGCAGGAGAGGCTGAATGACTGCGTAGGGAAATTGGGAGCAAAGGTCATCCCAGTCTGAAAGTGTGTCTTTTCCGTTGTGAAGAAGAAGAACCAGAGCTGCTAATCCCTTCCAGCTGCTTTTACCTTTATCTTCTGTCTCAAGTCAGCCAATACCTTTGCTTCAGCAAGCAAAGTCACCAAATACTTTCTTTTAATTAATTTCAAATTTAGCCTAACTCATCTACTTTCCTAATCCTAATCACATTGGAGATAATGTTCAGCAACACCCAAATGGTTACAGGAATTAGTGGCATAACAGAGTGGATTATTGGAAGCATACATAATTGATTTACTGCATGAGGAGAGGAGAGTAAAGTTCTACAAGGACATTGGTTCATCTAATATCTTCAAATAGGACTGACAAAGTGACATTTGTATTTTCTGTGGCTAAAGTCAGTAGGGTGCTATCATACAATGGCCCTATTGTTGTTTTAGCTCTCTCTCATTCATTCATCTGTCCTTTGTCAAAAAGTCAAAAGATCCTCTGAAAGCTGACAGTTTCTGCCACACATCAGCCATATTTCTTTGAAGAAGAAGAGACATTAGAGTGTTAAAGTGTGTTTGATGATGATGATGTGGGGATATAGCAGTCCTCAAGGCTGATATTTGTGGTTTGGAGTAGAATGTCTCGACATGTATTTGGTGGATTGCCATTTGAAACAAAGACAATCCTCTCTACTTTCTGATCATTTTGTACTTCTACCTTTGCAACAAAGAGCTGTGCTTAACTTTCTTATCTCTGACTGATGTGCAGTCCTTCTTACTTCACTCAGAAAATGAATATTTGTAAACCATTTAGCCAGACCTTGTACCTTGTATTCATGTAGAAAAGTTTTTCTTGCATGCATTCACAAAAAATGGCCAACATATTGTTTGATTGGGGAAGAGTAGCAAAACTATATCAAAACATCTGTTTACAAACTCTCACACAACTCAAGCAGTAAAATCCAAGATTCATTTATCCAGTCGAATGCTCATTGCTTCCCTAACACATGCATTTTTGCTATAAATAAAAAAAAAGCAGCAGTATTATTGGAGTCTGGCTTTGAAGAGAGTGCAAATAAGATTCACTTTAAATATTACGGTTTTAGTGAAAATGCATTTGTGAAGTACTTAGGATACAACTGGATAAATGAGACTTGGATTATACTGATTGAGTTGTGTGAGAGAGTGTAAGCAGAAGTTTTGATATAGTTCTGCTGTTGTTTAACGTGGTCCCAAATCAATCCATAAATCAATATGATCACTGTATTCCATGAAAGCATGCAAGAACAACAACGTCCCTTCATCAGTTCGACTTAATAAAGCATTAGTAACTTTTTTTAAATCCAAAAAAACACATTTGAGAGTTGGCTACTTTGGTGGCATACACCTCAACAACCTCAATCATAAAAGTAGATTAGCCTGTAAGTAGCCTGAGAGGCTAAACCTGGGGCTGCTTATTCAACTTATTGCTTCGAGTAACTGATGGTAACTGAGGGCAGCTCAGATGAACATTTTTATCTATTTAAATCTTCTCTCATCTGGTGGGTGAACAGGAAGAGGACATAGTCAAGAGACACTGCAGGCTAAGATTGAGGAGGATATGTCTCCCTTATTCCTGATGGAAATTAGGCTACATCTATTACAACCACCACCTAAGCAACGGCCATCCCCACGTTGAGCACCTTTTTTTAATAACAGATGTCTTAATTAAATAAACTGTTTTCGCATTGATCTCAGCCTGTAGACCTTCTTGCTGCTTTCTAGCCCAGTTATATTGGTGTGCGGGTATCTCCTCTGCCTTTCTTGTTTGTCTATTATACCGATGTACCCAAGATAAACCCCAAGTAGGTGCAGTTTCACAGCAGCCCTAAGCCTGAACAGGAAAAGGACACAGTCCAGAGACACTGCAGGCTAAAAGTGAATGTGGGATATATCTCCCTGATCCCTGATGGAAACTACACTTTTAACAACTACCATCTCTGCAACAGCCATCCCAAAAATAGTAGATTATTAGATTAGATTAGAGGATTCAAGATAGACAGTTGTAACAGCTACCAATCTGTCACTCGCTGTAAGGTCAGCCTGCATTTTAGCACAAACTGGAACCTGTTCATGATTAATTGCCCTCACATCAATGGTTAAACAACTGGTGAGGTACAAATCGCCTGCTCAGAGGGAATTTGAACCCTGAGGCTGGCATTACACTGCTCTCAGCTCTTTGCCCTGTCAAGCTGCATGTTATCGTCTCTCTTGCTGTGAGCATGTCTACGCTCCTGCTACTCGTGGCCTTTGTACACTCCAACCAGATTTACTTGTGTGTCTGCATGCAGTGTGTCTGCATGCACGTAGAATGACGCACTGAGTGCAGCCAATGGGGTGATGGGACAACCCTGTTGTCTTTGAAACAACAAAGGAGAGTATTATTTGTATTTCTAGTCAATGTGGGTCAATTCATGGTTGAAACCAGTTTTAGAGCACTTGGGCTAAAATGTCTATTTGTTTATTAGTTCCTCTGGGCTTCTCATTTGAGGATACAGGGCTAATTTAATTTTTTCACATTTCTAAAGAGGTCATCTGGGGTCATTCACACTGTTCACAGTCAGAAAACAAAGTACACATCGTCTATTTTATTGTCTGACCATTCTATTGAAAAACAATAGGCCGGCCACCCGCATGCCTCTCTTTATGCAGAGAAGTGTGTGTGAGGCTCTCAGGTTGCACTAATATCTGCAGCAAAGGCATCTTGCTCTCACTGCTGTCACATGAAAAGCACACAACTCCAATTTGGGGCCTTTTTTAAACTTCTGTTAAAAGTGTTTGTGCTCTTCCAACTCCATCAGTATCAGCTGGAATAAATATTGAATTTAAAAATGAAACAGCAGTGAATTAGACCAGAGCAATCTCAAAGATAATGCAGACAAAAAAAGTCACATCTGGAGTGAAACTTACTGAGAAAGACCTAACCTGTCTGAACCTTTAAACCAGGTGTGTTCACTTGAGGCAATAAGGATGCTCTCTCTGCATTATATCCTGGTCAGAGTCAGGTCATTCAGTTAATCTGCATGTGTATCTCTTGGCTTTGGTAATGTCAACATCCTGTAGATGACTGAATATGATTTGACAGAATGTGTTTGTTTTCTTACTCATAATAGATTGTTGAAGTCTGTCTCCGTAAATTCAACAATGCATTGTAGATAGATCAACAGTCTTTCAAGGTCACAGGTAAATGGGTCGATATCTGGTTTTGCCAGTCTGGTCCAGTGTACGAGCTTAAACTGGTTTGATTTTATGCAAACTGGCTGTGCTGGCATCTGTCATCATGACTTGTAATGGTAAATTAAAAAGCACTCTACATCAGCAGCCTGTGCTGACAGCATCACAGTGCTAACCTGTATTGTATTAGTAATAAACAATATGACAACGTGATTAACATAATATTCTCTTTGTTTATCAACAGACTAGTAAGTCACTAGTGTCTGACAGGTCGTGCACAATTTACTGCTGAGCCAAACCAATAGCTTAAAGGAGTTCAACTGGTGGTGGAGGTGGGAGGGGGGATGGTACACACGGTGTACATTGTTTTGTTTACTAGAAAGTTCATGTGTTGTTTGAGGTGACAAGACATGGCAGAGTTAGTCTCTCAAGAAAACTAAAAATGCATTATATAGCAACATTTTTGGATTGAAAACTGGACGGTGGACGGTAAACCAGATTGTGGTGCTGCTTCACTCTCTGCTTCACCTTGGGGGCTGACAAAACAGCTTAGAGATGCGTTACAACAACCAAGTGGACTGGAGTCACTACACTCTCATTCATGGGCTTGCTCAGTCTCATCAGGCCCCCAGGAAGTGTGGCAGACTTTGAAGCCAATTTTAGTAGTGGCCAAACAGTGGAATTACAACTTAAGGGTCCGTCACGTGTTGCCAGTGGACCCTTTCTCCCATAGACTTACATTGTGAAAGAGACATTTGTAAATCAGTGGCTACATTTTTTTGAGCATCACAGCCCCCGCAAAATGACTTGTTTCACTATTGGGATTTGGCAATAACATTTTAAAAATCTAGAAGAGCCGCACAATTAAATTATTTGATTCTCATTCAAGTTAGCGGAGGGCTAAACCGGATGTCAGCCGCTCGGCTCATGAAAGTTTGTAGTGCGCTTGCTCTATGGGCCCAACGATGCAGAAGATCTGGGTATTTTAAACCTGGGAAGTCAATTTTTTTTTGGCTTCATGCACCACTGAGCAATGACATCTTGTGGTAAATTTCAGTATATTAGTCCAGTCCAGTGTTTGGCTCAATATCAAACCAGTTTGAAAATTTTTCCACCAGCCCAACCGTAGTCAGAGGCCACTGCAGCATTACCTATATGACAGATCACAGGACTGTCAGGCTGTTGACATCAGTATCCCACACGTAACAAGTCCATCAAATGCTTCTGCTCATGTTCTCATCATTTGAAAAAAAAATGGCATGTTATATTTAATAGAAGCCAAGTAACATTTGATCAGTGCAGGAATTTCCCCTAGTCATAAGTGAAAAGTCAAAGAATTAATGTATTGCTTAAATTCCTGCTCTCTTTTAGACATGGTGGTGTTGGGGCGAGTGTCGGGGTTCGGTGCCTGGCCTCCATCCCCTCACTGCCCCCGGCAGTAGCTGAGTTTGTGAAGGGAGCGGTTGATGAATGTAAGCCCTCTGGTGTGCATGTGGTGACGGGGACACCGGAGGAAACGGCCAACATCCTGGCAGGTCTGGAGAAGGAGGGGATGGTCAAGAGGCTTCCTAAATATCAGAACTGGTAAGGACTTTAAATTTGTATACTCGCATACATACACAAATGCATACATTCAGTGGCGTGCTTTTATTAAACCACCAAGTGCTTGTATCTAATTCTCTTCTAAATTTCCTCAGTTTTTCTGCATCATGCTCTGATTTCTACTCTGTTTTTCAGTTGGCTGGCACGTACAGACCCAAAGGACGTAGCTCGGGTGGAAAGCAAGACTGTGATTGTGACCAAGAACCAGAGGGACACCATTCCCATCCCTGCTGACGGAGTGAAGAGTCAGCTGGGCAGCTGGATGAGCGAGTCTGACTGGACGAAAGCCAGACAGGATCGTTTCCCCGGCTGCATGGCAGGTATGTGTTGGATGGAACAAGACTTTTGACCCTCGTTGACAGGAGGTGTGTTTTCAACAGCTCTCTGAAACTTTTTTAGTTTTAAATGGTAGGGCTAGGGTTGGGCTTCTGTAAAAAAATTCTGATTTGTTTGGTATTAAAGAGGAAGTACAGCCATTGTCAAAATTCATACACATTATTTCTGTGGTCTAAAAATATTAGTAAACATGAACAACTCTCTCCCAAATCCCAAAGTCAAAGTGCTAAAACTTAAATTTGTGATGTCAAGTATAGAGTCTGGAGCTGCTCCATAGACAATGAAAGGTGAAAGGTATTAAAGATGAAACTGAGAGCATCCAGGGGCATGTTCTGAGTATATGGGTGCATTTTCTGTTTCAGATCTGAGAACACAATAGAATAAGGCTCATTTACAAAAAAAGAAAACATTTTGTGGGTCCACAACATCACAAAATCCTATTCATTATCTATGGAACAGCTCCAGACTTTATTCCCTGTGACAAAGTAAGTTTGAGACTTACCTCTCTTGTTTCATGCTGAGAGAGAGTAGCTCATGTTCACAAATATTTATTGAACTTTCCAAGGCCATCGAAATATGTAATGGAATTCTGAATTTAGGTGGTACTCCCCTTTAAGCCAAACCCTCGACTGGACCTATAATGAACTCAGCAGCTTCTCCTAAGTCAAACGTAATGACACTCAGCTCTGTTACTACCTCAGCTGCCAACTTAACGGTGGACCAACTATGCCCTTCCATGCCGTGTTTTTACATTTTAGACAGAGCAGCAAGGCAGAATAATTGTGCAACATTACTGCCTTGAATATGCTGTTTGTAAGAGTCTCACCAGAGAGAACGAGAGACGTCTAGTCTCGTCTCATCTCGTCACCCAAAAAAACACACGCATTCTAGTAAACAAACACAACATGCACTATCTTACATCTAGATCGGCAAAACCCGAAAATGGCCCAACCCTACTGAATTGTATTATTGTAACTGTACTGTGTAAATCCTTGATTTCTAACAAATGCTGCATTGCTTACTTCCATGTGCCAGTAGTGTTTTACTTCACTACGTTATATTTTTATGCTGTTTTTGTATCTTACCTCCAGCAACTGTAGGTTAAACAGTATGAAATGTTTTAACAGGAACATTTGTCAAGTTGCCCTCGTCTTTGTGTACATTACATTCAAATTGCGGAAACTGTGGTAAATATATTGCTCCGTAATGCTACTAGTGGTCAAAAAATCCACAGGGCACATTTTAAGAGAAGGACATGGTATCTCCAGTCCAATTTACCACCTTTTCAACATTTTGCCAATATTGAAACAACGTTGTCTGTAGTGGAAAAATAAACTGCATTACTATGTTGTTCATGCTTCTGTGTGTCCTCTCTGTAGGTCGGACCATGTATGTGATTCCCTTCAGTATGGGTCCTGTTGGCTCGACTCTGACTAAATATGGTGTCCAGGTATTGACTCCTCAGCACTTTATACTATGGAAAAAAGCATGCAATAAAGCAATTAGCCTGCTGTGTTGTACTGATCAATGGTTTGCTTTGTTGCTGTAAAATGATGTGATTTATTGTAGTAATTCATCACGCAGTGTATTGCTGTAGTGCTTTATGGTTATTACTCCCGGAATCATAGTAGATCAGGATCATAAACAGTTTGTTCTGCTTGAAGGTGACAGACTCACCATACGTTGTGGCCAGTATGGGGATCATGACGCGCATGGGCACTCCTGTCCTGAAGAAACTGGCAGACGGAACGGAGTTTGTCCGCTGTCAGCACTCTTTGGGACGACCTTTACCACTCAAAGGTACAATTAAAGGAGCCTGAAACAATTAGTTTTAGTGCTTTGTGTTGATTAAAACTTGAAAGATTTCACAGCGTCCTCCTCTCTGTATTCTCTCCAGCCCCTCTGGTCAATGCATGGCCCTGTAATCCAGACAAGGTGCTGATATCTCACCTGCCAGACACCAGGCAGATCTTGTCCTTTGGCAGTGGCTATGGAGGAAACTCTCTCCTGGGGAAGAAGTGCTTCGCCCTTCGCATCGCCTCCCGCATCGCCAAGGATGAAGGCTGGCTGGCTGAACACATGTTGGTGAGTGTGCCTCTGAAAGTCTGAGCTACATGCTTCACACACAGTTCTCCATAGTAACTTTTATATGCCTGTGGATATTCTCATTCATCCAGGTCATAGTTATCTCAAGGCAATTGAATCGAACGCAACTTCTAAGACAAAACCAAGTCCAGTTGCGTTCGATTCAATTGCCTTGAGATAACTTTTATATGCTCTAATTTCTGTGAGGAATTATTTCATGGTGGCAAATGCAGTTTTATCAGTTATCAAAAAGTATCTCCGGGCTTGTATTAAAGCCATAGTTCAGATCTTTTGAAGCAGGGTTGTATGAGGTACCTATCCATAGCCAGTTTATTACATACAGTAGATGTCAGTGAGCATGCCTACAGTCTGGAGTCCGACATGGAAACTAAGCGATGTACTGCTGTAGACGGGGTTAGCAACAAAACGTATCTTAGCCAAATTAAAAAAGGCCCACCTAAAAATACCAATATCAGTTTAAATGTTCATTATATTGATAATATTTCCAGCGCTTTACTTTGCCGTCAGACAGCATTTTCAGACGGGGAAATGAAGCCGTTGTATCACTCTCTTCAATGCCAGACTCCATAGAGAAAAACAGTGATTTAAAACCGCTAAACCCAGCTGCTGGTCTACTGCAGCCTCAAACAGTTAGTTTGATTGTGATATTGTGTGACTTTGGCGTTTAAAAGGGTTAGTTCAGTTTCACCAAAGTCACACAGTAACACAAACTAAATAACAGATTGTTAAGTGAGTTCAAAATTACTGTTTTTGTCAACGGAGTCTGATGGCTTTGACAAGAGCATAGATGGGGAAGAGAAGCTGTTAATGGCTTTCCGGTTGGAAAGGAGCTATCTGACAGAAATGTGAAGCGCTCAAAATTCTCTCATTACAACATACAGGAACTATTAGAGATCTTTTTTAGGTGACTAAAATACTTCTTGTCGCTGCCCCCCTTCCACAGCAGTACATTGCTCAACTTCTGCTCTGCCTTGATGCTTTGTCAGTTTTAATTGATGACTTTTCATGAAAGGCTGATTAAAAATTCATCACTGTCTCCCCTCCTCAGATTCTGGGTATTACCAACCCTCAGGGAGTGAAGCGTTATGTCGCAGCAGCCTTTCCCAGCGCCTGTGGTAAAACTAACTTGGCCATGATGAAACCAAGTCTCCCGGGCTGGAAGGTTGAGTGTGTGGGTGATGACATTGCATGGATGAAGTTTGACAGCCAAGGTGAGGGCGGAGGATGACTCACATGAACATAATCTCCTTGTTACTCCATAGGTGGTGGATTAAATCCTCATGTTACTTACACATTTGTCTCTGCAGGGAAACTGAGAGCCATCAACCCAGAGAACGGTTTCTTTGGTGTGGCTCCCGGCACCTCAGACAAGACCAACCCCTACGCCATGGCCACCATCGCCAAAAACACTGTGTTCACCAATGTAGGCGAGACCAGCGACGGAGGAGTGTGGTGGGAGGGCCTCGACCCCCCTGCAGCTGGGATCACACTCACAGACTGGCACGGCAAAAGCTGGAAGCACGGTAACATCAGCCACGACTGCCTGGTTTTTATAAAGACATTAATCTAAAGTGCTGCTGTAGTTCAGCAGCTCTAGAGAAGATGAATTGTCTTTAGCACTTAGTTTCTAATGAACATGGATGAATATTCAGCAGTTTTACTGATATAATTTCAGCTTGAATCATGTGTTTTGTTTCTTTGCCAACAAAGACATCAGAAGATTATTGATCGGCTCTAGACCAAGAGAACTCACTGCAGTATCACACAGAGCAGACATGGCTCAGATAAAACCCATTTATGGTGACACATCTTACTGTATATTGGTATCACTGTCATCACAGATTTTCTGCTTTCTGGATAAATCAAACTCTCATATGAAGAGTAAACTGAACAGCTGTAGTGTATACAGTGCCATCTAGTGGTATGTGTTTGAAAATGACTGTGACAATAAATGACATGAACAACATTCAAGGTAGAATAAACTGTTGTTTCCTCTTTATAAAAAAGGAAGCTCGACTCAGTGCGCCCACCCCAATTCCCGCTTCTGTGCCCCGGCGGCTCAGTGTCCCATCATCGACCCCATGTGGGAGAGTGAGGAGGGTGTTCCGATTGACGCCATCATCTTCGGTGGCAGGAGGCCAGAGGGTTGGTGCTGCTTTCATCTAACATGGAGAGATTCTTTCTCCAGCATAGCATTTTCATAGATGTATTTTTTACATTTTTAATTAAACTTGTCAGAAATTTCAGATAATGAGGTGAATGTATGTAAAAGTAATCTCTGTGAGCAAAAACCTCAGGCTTTAGACTGTACCGAATACTTTTCAACATTTTTTTTCTACAAGTTGATGTCAGCTTGTGACAGATTTCTTTATATAGTCATTTGCTCTAGGCACGCTACTTAAAGTGTTAGCATAAGGGAGCCTACAATGCTACAATAAGCCAAAGCATTTAAAGAATGTAATCTTAGTTGAAACCCAAAATACAAGTATGAACCTGATATTGACCATAATAGGTCCCCTTTAAGCATTTAGCTGTTAGTTCTCTGTGATGTGACTGTCAAAGTTAATCTGTCAAAGTTAGTCTTAAATTAATCTGCAAGTCTATCTCACATTGCAACCAGAAAAGGAAGTGTAGAAACGTGATGTAAAATGACACAGTGATTGTGTTGTCTTCTTCTTAAAGATGTTTGAGTCATTCCAGCCGCAATTTGTGTTACATATCAACACAAGAAGTTCAGTAACATTTACAGCACACATGTAGCTCTGCATTAAACATGATGAAATGTTGGTGTTGTCAGGAGTCCCTCTGGTCTACGAGTCTTTCAACTGGCAACACGGGGTCTTTGTTGGAGCCGCCATGAGGTCTGAGGCCACAGCAGCTGCTGAGCATAAAGGTACACACCCACACAACTGATTTTCCTGTGCTCTAAATTCCTGTAACTACATCTGTTGTCCTATTGACGAGGTGGTGTAAGATAAAGGGATGATAAGATAGTAACTCTAACTATCACTTAAGTTAATTCTTTATAAGAATTACAAAACATTTCATGTCTCTCTGCAGGCAAGGTCATTATGCACGATCCCTTTGCCATGCGACCATTCTTCGGTTATAACTTTGGTGACTACCTCGCTCACTGGCTGAGCATGGAGAGACGAAAGACCCCCACTCAGCTGCCCAAGATCTTCCACGTCAACTGGTTCAGAAAGGACCCCGCGACCGGTGCCTTCCTCTGGCCTGGCTTTGGTGAAAACGCCCGTGCACTGGAGTGGATCTTCAAGCGCTGCAGCCGGGAGAGGGAGGACGAGGCAGCCAAGAAGAGTATTATCGGCTGGCTGCCAGAAGATGGCGCCATCAACACTAAAGGTCTGGGCAAGGTGGATATGGGTGCCTTGTTCGATGTGCCCAAGTCTTTCTGGCAGAAGGAGACGAAGGAGTTGAGAGCCTACTTCACCCAGCAAGTTGGAGCTGATCTGCCAGCACAGGTGGAGGCTGAGCTGAAGGCACTAGAGGACAGAGTGCACAATTAAAAAAACCCTACTGACAGGAAGTTCATCCAGAAACGGAGACAGTCACAGGATTCAGATCATCAGGGTGCGATCAGAGTCACTGGCTGGGTTTACATACACAGAGAACTTAGTTCTGAAAACAAAGTTTTAGTTTTATCCACATACATATAAAAACTGAGACTGGAGAGCCTGGTTGAGATGTTTGGCTGACAGGTCACTGCAGCTTGGAAACATCCCTCCTCCTCTTTGGTTTTCACAAAAGAGAATATGTACTGAAATTCAGTATGAGAGAGTTCTGGTACTTGCTGCTCAGTCAAAGTAGAGCTGCAACGATCAGTCGATTAGATATTGATTGTATTAAATGAATCACCAACTAGTAGTAATTAATGTAAGTGTAACTTAGGTTATTTTCTGTAGCTACAAATTACAGATGCTCCCTAAACACCTCATATGCAGACTGTCAGCAGACAATACAATTTACTAACACCTCAGATAATACTGGTAACAATAGACATTATGTCCAGCATCTCTACATTCAGCCTTTAACAACGCCACATAAGGCTACTGTCAAAAAGCACTCATTATTAGTGGAATATTAAGGTCCATGTACACACACCTAAAGACAGTAAACTGAATATCTCTGGGTTGTGGACAAAACAAGACATTTGAGGACATCATCATGGGCTTTGGGAAACACTGATCAACAGTGTTTTTTTGTTTGTTTGTTTTTTACATATTTTAGACCAAATAACTAATGAAAATAATGTTTAGTTGCAGCTCAGAGTCAAAGATGGTTTATGGCAGCCACATTTTGAGATGTTTTTGCTGGCAGAACATGTTAAATGTTAAGAATCCAGAAAAGGCAGACTTGTTCAACCACTGATTGATAAAAAAGCTATGCCTCAAAAAGACTAATAGCCAGGCTGGTAGCTAACTTTCTCTGTGTATGAAAACACAGCCAGTGACTCTTCCCTTTCTCTTTTATGAAGAGAAATCTTTTAAGAATTAAATGTCAAAGATAAAAAAGTTAATAATCTACAATGCAATACCTTTGGACACGACTTCACACTTATGCTGCAACACTGAAGGACTGGTGCCGGGTTGGTGGTAGGAGGGAGGTTGACTCTCAACATGAAGGTTAGATTTCTGTGATTTTTGTCAAACCTGTCATGTGGAGAAGCTCATGTCACTACCTCCATTCACTCACAAATCCTGGCACGGTACTAAAAGAACAACGCACATGACCTAATGGTGCCTTTAGAGACATTTAACAATACAGTGTCTAGGCTGCTGATGTTTACAAGCTGAAGCCCAAAGATTGTTTTTGGCAACATTCTGACAAAAAGTAGAAACAGTTTTAATATTTTTTACTAATAAAAAGGTTTTAAATGAATTTAAGCACCAGATCTTTCAATACAATATTGACTGGATCTCATGAAATGCCCTTTATTTTGAATTGAGCTTGATACTCAAATACATATCAGAAGTCAATTAACTACTCAAAGCATTGTAGCACAGTTCCAGTGGGAATTACTATGCATCATTCATCTTGCCACTTTTGTAATGTTTGTGATTCAACTGTCTGATTTCAGGTGATGTTTACACACAATATGTGAAATGTTGGACCAATAAATGCAACTGAGATTATTAGGTATTTTTAAGAATTGTATGTCAAGGTTTTTATTACAGTGCAATGAATAAATGACTTAAAATGCAGAAAAAATGCTTTATGTTCATTTTTGAAAGTTGTTCAAATACAAATAAAAATATAGACACAACACAGTAGATAAGTAAATGAGGTTAAACTTGCTTTGTAAAAAAAAAAGATCTGTAATATCTAAGATTATAAATTACACAAACATTTCCAGATCAAACACAATCTTGTCCTACACTGGTAATGTGTGCACAGAACTGCCCTTGTATTAAGGTCACTATGATTCTTTCTCGTGTTGTTATTTATAATACTTCCCTATTAAGAGGTGTAGGGCTTCTGTTGGCACTGATCTGATATGCAGATTACTAATCACACAGCAACAGCCGGATGAGGTCATTTCACAAGTATGAAGTGTGATATTAAAATGGCTGACAAAACCATCTGAGCTGCAGGGCATGGAAGTTTTGAGTTGCCCTTAACTGTGTGAAATGAAGATGCTTTTTCTGTCCAGGCTCTAGTGTCTTTTCTATATTATACATCTTGTATAGGTTAAAAAAGGATAACTATAAATCCACCCCAGATGTAATCACAAGACAATACTCATTTTCTCTTCACTTGAGTGTAGAGATCCTCTGGTTTCGTTTTCTGTCTCAGACACTTTGACCTGTGCATACAGTGGATCCTGCTGCTGTCCACTGTCCTGCTTTGAGGCCGAGGGCAGTCCAGGTCTCCGCTTGGAGAAGTCGATCTCTCCATAATGGATGTCTTCTTCTTCTTTTTTTTTTTTTGTTTTTTCTTCAACAATTTTTTCTTCTTTTTTTTTTTTTTTTATAATAATTTATTTATTAGGTGTTGTTTTGTGTTTTTTCTTCTGTTTTTTTTTTATTTAATAATTATATATATTTTTTATTTATTGTTTTTTTTTTTTTATTTAGTTTGTATTTTTATTTATTTATATTTTTTTTTTTTTTTTTTACATTTTTTTTGTGTTTATTACACATTGCAGTGCTGTACAGGAAGTTCAGTATGTTCTCACCTGAGTCTGTTGTGCAGTTGAATGTGTCGACTTTAAACGCCTGGAAGACATCAGATCAGTTATACTGTGTTTCAGGTTCAATATACAGTGTGCCAGTAAAGTGTCAAGACTGGTGGGAAACAGATATTATTGCATGTGAGTGAACTCAGTCAAGACTGCTGCTTTAATTTGTGATACTCACCAAACACAGACGACCAGGCAGATGAGTGCAATGATCCCAATGATTCCTCCAGTAACTGTCCCCCATTGTACAGAGCTACCTCCTGCTCATAAAAGAAAACAAAATAAGTGACTAAAAGGAGACGAGTGTTGAATGAAGACATGTAACAATATTGATCATGGTAATCAAAGTGCTCTACAAGGTACTACAACACACTAACAAAAACAGACAGCAGATAAGATTTATGTCAGTGGATTCAGTAACTACCTTCAGCAATCAGCTCAATCTCCGATGATGTTTCATTACCAAGATCATTTGTGGCCACACAGTAATAAAATCCTCCACCTGTCACGTTAAAGCTGTAAAGGTCTTTGTCAGATACTTTGATGGGTCCATCATTGCTGGTCTTGAACCAGGTGAAGCGGCTGACTGGAGGATTGGCTCTGCTGGAGCAGGTCAGGTTCACCCAGCTACCTGCTGACACCAAACCTGATGGACTGATGGACACTGAGGTGTCCTTCGGAGCGTCTGGAGAAAATGTAACAAACAAAAGAAGAGGTGATAGATACATCAGAGCCTGAATAAGATCACTGAGAAAAGAGAGTCATGGGAAATCAGAAAGTCCATCAGGAACTAATAAAATGTGTTGTCTTACATGAAACACAGAGTCTTTCTCTCCTCTGCTGTCTTATTGTTTCCTCCATCCACAGGATATGTGGCAGAACAGGTGATGGTGACTCCATCATGTTTGTCTGACAGAGTGATGGTCTCCTGGATTTTAGTTGTGAGGGTTTGATCTGTGTTTTTCTCTATTGTGTTGTGAGGGTCTTGTGTGAGATTCCAGGTGAGTTTAGGAGGGGAGTGTGGACAGGGAGTGGAGGCTGAGCAGGTTATAGTGACAGATTCCTTCTCCTTCAGATCACCTGAGATCTCAATTCTGGGGCTCGGAGGAGAATCTGTGGTTTAACACCAAACACAGATTTTACTCTAAGATGATTGAAACTCATTTATTCTCTGATGATTATTTGATAAATAAACTAAACTCATTTTCAATTGAATACAAAATTATAAACACAAATAATAATGCTAAGTAGAGTTTGTCCCACACTGCTGATAAATGTCAAGGAGTGAAAACAAACAATACATGAGTTTTTTCTTTTCAGGTGCTGACATTTTGTCTGATTTGACAGTTATAGTAGTGCAGATATTGTAAGACAGAAAATAAAGATGTTTTCATATATAGTTATATAGGTTTGAACTCTGACAGATACTGATAATCATACATCAAATATTTAACTTCACAGTGAAGGTTCCAATCATGGAGTGTGATGTTTAGACAGAAACTGATTTGGAAAACAATATTAAGTAAAATCAGACTGATGAAAAACTCTCTTACCTTTAACTGTTATTTGAAGAGGATCACAAGAAGCTGTTGCTATGAATGACGTGCTCTCAATTCTGAAGTAGTATGTGTCTGTGTGATATATGATTAAACTGGAAAATAAAGTGGTGCAGTTTCTCTCACTCAGGTTTCCAGTGATATTCATTGGATAGGTGTTATCTGTCTTACTACTGTTGAAAATCACATTGTTTGGATTGGAGTTAAATCTGGAGTCACTTTTAATCCACACTCCAAAAAATGTGCTTGCGCCGTTGAAGTCTTTGTCTGGTTTAGGTGTAAAGGTACATGGGATTTGCAAACAAGATCCACTCAGTGCTTCCATGTTCTTTGGTGCAGTAATGAATAGGGCTGGACCAGCAGGACAATCAGCCAAAGCACCTGTAAAAACTAATCATGACAACTTGTGAAGCAAAAATCAGCATGAAGAGAAACTTCATGATACACAACTACAGTTCAGCAGCACCAGGCTTGATCATTTTTCCTTTTAACATTGTCAATATAAAACATTTCACTTTGCAGTCAGGACATGAACAATTGGAAAAAATAACATCTCCAAATAAAAGTGACTGAACAAACAGCTCACCTGAAACATAGAAGACACTCAGTAACATGTTGGCTGTCACCATTTTCACACACTGGACTGTAATGACACTCATCACCTGGAGTTGACAAAAAGTCGCTTTCTTAGCATATTGATTAAAACATATTTTAAATGAAACATTCATGTTCTTTAAAAGCCACCGCAGATTCACACATTCAAAGTAGGAACTCTCCCTGTACAACCAGATGTTACTGTGTTATAATAGTGATTAATGATCTCTGTAGAGTTGCACTGAAAACAGATTAAATGTAAAATTAAATGATACAGCATGAGATATTTCTGCTAAACCAAGACCAAACAAATAAAATATGTCTATATATATGTTTTTTTTCAGTGCAGCTCAAGGAAAGCTGCAAAATATAAAACATAAAGCATTAAAAAATAAAAAAAAGTATAAAAGTATAAAAAGCAGAAACATTTTACCTCACCAAATGAGCCTGCAGTCAGAGCGGAGAAACAATTAGTTTTAAAATCAGACAATTTGTGAGTTTCAGCCGAGTTGCTACAGACCCAGTACCTGACTTTGCTGCTAAGCCGTTGATTTAAAAGCAAACAGTTACTGTTTCAAGCTGGATATGAAATGACTGAAATACTGCAGAGAGACAAGAAGTCGCCACTCTTCCTGCTCACAGCCTGAGAGTGAGGAAGTCAGTTTTTGAGGCAACTTGAGCTCATCAGGACACAAATAACTAAATTATTCTTAAAGATTAATTTTGTCACATGACTAACTGCAAGCCTGCGTGCCTTATCTTTTTTGTAGCATGCTGTATTAATCACAGTAGTGCCATGTTAAACAAATATAAAAATATGAACTTCATGTATTGCACAGGTGTAGTTAAGTGGATATATAATTTTGACATGTAATATATAGAGTGAGTTTCATTACAAGTAGTTAGTTGTGCTGTGGGCAAATTATAAGACAATGGGCCCGTGGGCACAGACATGCAAAAGGCCCCACCACCTCTCCTAAATAGGAGCAAGACAGACTTTATAGTAGCTCGGCCTCTTTTTGTTGTTTTGTGTGTCTTAGTAGTCGTTACACATCTGTCTGTGATGGTTTTGTGTCTCTGAGATGGTTTTTTGTGTCTTTGTGGTGGCTTTGCCCTATTTCATATATGTTGTGAGTCTCTTTGCAGCTGTTTTGTATCTCTTTATAATCATTTTGAGTAAACACAACTCTGGACTGATGAAGACATCTGGTTTGACAGAGCTGTGTGACTACAGTCGCTCTGACGATCCTGCAGGTGGAACCAGAGACAAAACCCAGCCGAACAACTTCCCCTGTTTACTTATATAATAGTTCTCAGGTTTTTCTCAGAGCTCTGGTCATGACTCTATCAGTTTATATCTCACCACTTCTCTTTGGTGTTCTTATTCTGGCTTATCAGCCTCACACAGTTGTATTTCCTCACATCCATACCATCAAAACGTCAGGTTTTTCTTAGAGCTCTGGGGCCTCATTTATAAAGCTTGCTTACGCACAAAACGGGGCTTGAAAGTGGCGTACGCCACTTACCACACAAAGGTTGTGATTTATAAAAATAAACTTGGCGGGAGAATGTGTGCACCTGTAAGCAAACTGCGTCATGCGTGCCCACATTTCGGAGACACTGGGAAGTGGCGACGCAGACGGCGAGGTGGAGAAGTGGAGTCAGATTTTTATTGATGTCTCACACAAACTTAATGTCACGCTATATCCACCTTAGATCCACGTTATCATTGAAATTAAATCCAGCAGCCTTATTTTGCGCTTGGAGTGAGTGATAATTGTTTCATAAAAACGTTGTAAAATCCAACTCAAATCCTGAATTGAAATTCTTTCTAAACACATTTTTAATCCGCACTGCCTCTAACGTCTTATTGTCCACTCTGTGAGCGCAGGAGGGGGAGAGGATGGCGCGACTGCATGGAATATATTTATTTATTTAGCTAAATATTTCTAGTGCGTTTATCATGTCTCGAAATACAGCCATTACGCACAACCCTTACACTCATTTCATCAGCCCTACTTAGACATGTGCTGTTCATGACAAAACCGGCATGAAGAAACGTGTTCGCCTATTACACTTTCATCTTTGAATTGTATTTCAAATTACACGTTGTATTTTGGGACATGGATACCACTGATTCATGCTGTAATTCAGGCCGGGAGGCTAATTGCCATAAACATATAAATACTGCGGTGACCCTCGTGCGTAATTGCGCAAGATGGCACTGGCACATACTCCTTTTTGCCTCCACCTTTAATAAATGTGATTCTTTATGTCGCACATCAGTGTCAAACATCCTCAAATTTAAAAGCAACACATTAACTACATGTTGGTAAAGGAGTAGAAATATTTGGTCTACCTTTAGATCAGACCACTTTTTTTTTTTGTTCTGTCACTGTCCGTGCAGTCCCACAGACACAGCTGACAGCATCAGCAGCGCTGATGTGTTGCCACTTTTTTTTTTTTTTGCTTTCTTTTATTAGTGATGCCGCTGCTGTGGCCACCAAATAAAATCTTTCTTCAGTCCTCCACCTCCCGTTAAAGGGTCTCTAGTTCAGTCTCGGAGAAATTCCGTTTTTTGGTTCGTTTCTCACACCTGTCGCCATGACTCACACAACGAGAGAACACCCGCATGCCGGCTTAGATCGCATTCATGAGGTGATTTCCATGACCACTTATGGTTGAACTAGGCCGTGTAGAGGGCAGAATATGAGGCGGATCTGGGTGCGCACAACTCCAGGAGGTCTGTGATTTATAAAGAGAACATTGCGTGTAAGTGTGCGTGCGTACGGTTTTATAAATCAGATTATTTTTTGGCGCACGCTATTTTCAGCTTTTGGGCGCACGTCAACTTTTAGTATGAATCCTAAACACTCTTTTATAAATGAGGCCCCTGGTCATGACTCTATCAGTTTATATCTCACCACTTCTTTTTGGTGTTCTTATTCTGGCCTATCAGCCTCACACAGTTGTATTTCCTCACATTCATACCATCAAAACAACGTGAAATACAATAACTGTAATGTGTGTTAGTGGCAATTAAAGACTGAACTGTGAGGTGTCTCTGTGCTCTTGTCAAACTGAAAAGGATATTTAATAATGCCACCTGATGCCTGATTCTTTAACTTATTCTAAAGTGTTATTAACCAAAGACTATTTGACACATGTAGTTACCACAGAGTTTATTAAACTGACTTGTGCACAGTCTGTATCACTGCTGCTCTGCAATACAGCACTGAGGAGAGAACAGTCATCTACACATGTATATACAAAGACAACTGTAACAATAAAAGATAAATATCCACACTTTCTGCTTCCTCATCACAAGAAAAATCTGGCTTTAACTATTTAAACTTCTGTTTGAAAAATATATTCATGCATGCAATGAAAACACAGTTTAATCAAAGAAAAAAATAGTGCAATCTTAAACAATTAATAATGAAGCTACAGTATATTATCTTCTGTCTTGTTCGCACTCCAAATTTTGATCATCTCCCTGATCTGCTGCAAAGAAAAATATTTAATATTTAAGAATGAGGTGAATAAGAAACAGAAATATTCCATAAAAGGTAAACAAGACATTTTCCTCTTCTCCTTCACAATGCTTGAATCTCAATCACACAGTTGACGTAGTCTGCTTCAGCTGTGTCCTGTGGAAATAAATCAATTATCATTGTTTCAAAGATGTCTACAAACAAATCTTTGCTCATTCATAAAAGGAGCTTTTGTCCCTTTCTTCAAAGACAGTTTATTGTTGAAAGGATAATGTGCCTGTAGCTTACCTTCACTGGTTTGTTGCAGCATCTTGATCTAAACCACCTGAAAGGAATATAAATAAACCTGAATTAAAGGCATTAACATTAACTTTAAACATTTCAAAGAGTACCAGTAAGTCTTTAGCTGCAAATGATCAAATCATAGAAAAGTTCCTCTCACCACTCAAAGATGATGATTGTGCTGTAGAGTGCTACGATTCCCAGGATCTGCACTGTGATGTGAACATCAACCCCAAACTCTGGATTGGCTGTAACAAGACAGCCTGGTCAGTTTCTCCTTAGTAAAACATTTTATGACTCCAAAACTGCATCCCATCATATTAAGCTACCTTCTGCTCATTACAGAAAACAAAATAAGTGACTAAAAGGAGACGAGTGTTGAATGAAGACATGTAACAATACTGATGGCAATCATGGTAAGCAAAGTGCTCTACAGGGTACTACAACACAATAACAAAAACATACAGCAGATAAGATTTATGTCAGTGGATTCAGTAACTACCTTCAGCAATCAGCTCGATCTCCGATGATGTTTCATTACCAAGATCATTTGTGGCCACACAGTAATAAACTCCTCCATCAGTGACAATAAAGCTGTAAAAGTCTCCTTCAGACACTTTGATGGGTCCATGTTTGCTGGTCTTGAACCAGGTGAAGCTGCTGACGGGAGGATTGGCTCTGCTGGAGCAGGTCAGGTTCACCCAGCTACCTGCTGACACCAAACCTGATGGACTGATGGACACTGAGGTGTCCTTGGGAGCATCTGAGGAAAATGTAACAAACAAAATAAGAAGTGATAGATACATCAAAGCCTGAATAAGATCACTGAGAAAAGAGAGTCATGGGAAGTCAGGAAGTCAGAAACTAACACAATGTGTTGTCTTACATGAAACACTGAGAGTCATTTCTTCCTCTGCTGTCTTATTGTTTCCTCCATCCACAGGATATGTGGCAGAACAGGTGATGGTGACTCCATCATGTTTGTCTGACAGACAATGCTGGACTGATGAAGACATTAGGTTGCACAGAGCTGTGCAGCTAAAACAACTTCCCCTGTTTACTTGTAGTTCTCAGGTTTTTCTCAGAGCTCTGGTCAGTTTACATCTCACCACTTCTCTTTGGTGTTCTTACTCTGGTCCATCAGTCACACACAGTTGTATTTTGTCACATTTATACCATCAAAACAACATGAAATACAATAACTATAATGCTTTTTAATCAAAGACTGAAGTGTGAGCATCTCAGTTTTCTTGTACAGTTGAAAGTGATATTGATTAATGCCACCTCATGATGCCCAATGCCTCATTTTAGGTTCACCCAGCTTCCTGCTGACACCAAACCTGATGGACTGATGGACACTGAGGTGTTCTTGGGAGCACCTGAGGAAAATATGTAGTTACATGGGATGTGCCGACAAGTCCTTGTCTTGCATGCTAGTAGTTGTTACACATCTCTCTGTGATAGTTTTGTGTGTCTTTGTGGTGGCTTTGCCCTATTTCATACTTGTTGTGAATCTCTGTGAGTCTCTTTTCCATTGTTTTGTATGTCTTTATAGTCATTTTGAGTCTCTTTCTTGTCAGTACGTGTTAATCTGAGTGACATTTTGAGTGGCTGACACTTTGGGCCCCAGGGCCAGTATGCCCTTTCAATAATCCATCCATAAGTGGTCCCCTTTTGTTATTAAAAAAGAGGATGGCTTAAGGCCATCAGTGCAGATAGCCAGGTTTGTTGGACAAATATGCAAGAAAACAAATGGACAGTAAATGCAATTCTGGACTGATGAAGACATCTGGTTGCACAGTCACTTTGACAAAAGTGCACAAAGACCTTTGGACAAAACTCAGCCAACCAGCTTCCCCTGTTTACTTATAGTTCTCAGGTTTTTCTCAGAGCTCTGGTCTTGATTTGGTAAGTTTACATCTCACCGCTTCTCTTTATTGTTCTTACTTTGGTCCAAATGATAGAACTGTGAGGTGCCTCAGTTTTCTTGTTGAACTGAAAGGGATATTTAATAATGCCACCTGATGCCTGATTCTTTAACTTATTCGAAAGTGTTATTAACCAAAGACTATTTGACACATGTAGTTACCAGAGTTTATTGAACTGACTTGTGTACAGTCTGTATCACTGCTGCTCTGCAATACAGCACTGAGGAGAAAACCTCTGTGAAGAAAATGCTTTGCTCACTTCGGATGCTTTTAATCCAGCAGTCATCCACACGTACATACAAACACAACTGTGATAATAAAAGATAAATATCCACATTTTCTGCTTCCTCATCACAGCAATAATGTGTCTTTAACTGTTTAAACTTCTGTTTGGAAAAATATATCTGCACATTAAAAGAAAACACAGTTGAGGCAAAGAAAAAGAATAATAAGGACATCATAAATCAGCACAATATTACACAAACTAATAATGAAGCTACAGTATGTTATCATCTGTCCTGTTTGGACTTGAAGCTTTGTTTATCTCACTTATCTCTATGAGACGTAAAGATAGAGAAATATATAATTTAAAGTGAACATGACATCTTCCTCCTCTCCTTCATGATGCTTGAATCTCAATCATTGTTGACGTAAACTGCTTGTGATGCATCATGTGGAAATGAAAGAATCATCATCTCAAAAAGATTTTTTCTGTATAATTGTTGAGTATCAGTCTTCAGAGACAAAGAACCCTTTTCTCTTTTATAATAGGAACTTGTCCCTTTCTTCAAAGACAGTTTATTGTTGAAAGGATAATGTGCCTGCAGCTTACCTTCACTGGTTTGTTGCAGGATCTTGATCTAAACCATCTGAAAGAAATATGAACAAACCTGAATAAAAGTTCTGACCATTAACTTTAATAGACCAGTTAGTCTTTAGCTGCAAATCATTATATCATAAAAAAGTTCCTCTCACCACTCAAAGATTTTGATTGAACTGTCGAGTGCTACAATTTCCAGGATCTTCACTGTAACGTAGACATCAACCCCAAACTCTGGATAATCTGTAACAAGACAGCCTGGTCACCTTCTCCTTAGTGGAAAATGTTATGACTCTAATACATCATCAACTTGAATTCCTTCTGTTCACCTCAAATGTAAACTGGCGTCCTGATTAATCCTGTACATCATGAACTACGAGCTCAAGCAGTTGTAACAGTTGCATTAAAGCTGTAAAAGTCTCCTTCAGACACTTTGATGGGTCCATGTTTGCTGGTCTTGAACCAGGTGAAGCTGCTGACGGGAGGCTTGGCTCTGCTGGAGCAGGTCAGGTTCACCCAGCTACCTGCTGACACCAAACCTGATGGACTGATGGACACTGAGGTGTTCTTGGGAGCATCTGAGGAAAATGTGAAATGAACTTTGGACATTAGAATCAGCTGACATCCCATGAATCATCATGTGCTGACAGGATCCAATAACAAACACTGGTTGTCTTACATGAAACACAGAGAGTCTTTCTCTCCTCTGCTGTCTTATAGTTTCCTCCATCCACAGGATATGTGGCAGAACAGGTGATGGTGACTCCATCATGTTTGTCTGACAGAGTGATGGTCTCCTGGATTTTAGTCGTGAAGGTGCGATCTATGTTTTCCTCTATTGTGTTGTGAGGGTCTTATGAAGGTTCGAATCATGGAGTGTGATGTTTAGACAAAAACTGATTTGACTTTTTAGAAATAATAAATAAAATCAGACTGATAATAAACAAAATGCTCTTACCATTGACTGTTCTTTGAAGAGGATCACAAGAAGCTGTTGCTATGAATGGCCTGTTCTCCATTCTGAAGTAGTACGTGTCTGTGTAAGTTATGACTAAATTGACAAAGACAGCAGAAATTCAGATTATTGATCGGCCATAGACCTAGAGAACTCACTGCAGTATCACACAGAGCAGACATGGCTCATATAAAACTCAAGAATTTGTCATGACACATCATACTGTATTTTGGTATCACTACTAATCACAGACTTTCTTCTTTCTGGATAAATCAAACTCTCACATGAAGAGTAAACTGAACAGCTGTAGTGTATACAGTGCCATCTAGTGGTATGTGGAGGCACAGACCTGAACCTCAGACTGAGTATGAACCATGATATTCAGATGAAGGTGTTTCCAAAATTCTTTAAATTCTCTGATTATACACTACTGAAAACATACTTATAATTATTATACACAACCTCTGCCATAATCTGCTCATAAATCCCCAAAAATCTTACACACTGAGCATTTAAATAAATACTCAAAGCATGTAACTTCTCCACTGCCCGCTCACTCAAAAATGTTTGGTAATATTGATGACAAGAACTGAAACATGTTGATCTACCAATAAAGTGGTTCAACACATACCTGTTTCTGGAATTTTGATGTCTTTACAATTCTTCTCCTTCTCCATGCATATAAGAAGTAGGTGAAGTTGTGGCAGAAACCCCCATTATGCTTCTCCAGTATTAGCACTTGCTTGCCCAGGCTTTGACTAAAGGTCCATTTTGGTAGTTAAGCAAGAGACAGGCCACTGCATACAGTTGATCCATGCTGCCTGTGAGTGAAAGTGGGATCACTGTACGGAATATTTTCTGCTCCTTCACCCTTGGAATGAGCCGCTCAACATGCACTCTCAATCTTGCAATAGACTGCGTCTCTCTGACCTCTGCCCCAGACAGTTGTTCTCTCTTGGACAGGAAGGCTGGTGTGTGGACCTTGCAGGGGACACAGTCATCCACAAGGAAACCCTTGTCCACCATGATGGCTGCTGTTGGTTTGAAGAGAGAGATAATGCTAGACTGCTTCAGGATGTCTTTGTCACTGATGGAGTCTTCATAAAGAGATGACATGAAGGTTACTGCACCATGAGGGGCCACACCAATCAGCCCTTTGACTGTGCAGTGGGGTCTGTAGGTCGAGAACACCTCACTGTGCAGGAGAAGAGAGTTTGGTGTTTAGCACCGCAGCTCAGTGCAGTCCAGCACCACTTGAGTATCAGAGTTGTGAACAACATCTGGCAGGTGAGCCTTCACTGTCTCCTCAGACAGCCAAATGCCTACAGCTTCAAGTACAGTATACAGAAAGTTAGCCCAAGTACTGATGATGCGGCTCACAGTTGACTGGTGGATTTTGAATCTGTGGATCAAATCTTTTTGCATCAGACCCAAAGACAAATAGGTCATGGACAGGATAACCTCATGAATGGGTTGAAGAGACTGTAAAAAAAGAAAATACAGTACATTTTATTTACTATTGTTACTCATCACACAGACAGACCATAGCTGACATTACTAAAGGCCCAACTTGAACAGCTGTCAAACCTCATGCAGATACTACCACTACAATATGTTGTACTGCAAACCAAAACAATGCCAAATACTCTGAATGATATTTCTCACTCCATAAGGACAAGAGAAAAATATATTTACCGTTGCACCTGCAGGGTGAGGGACCTCTGAAGTGCAGCCCATGCTCTTGTCATGCGCACCATCTTGTGTGTTGCTGCCTCTAAAGGCCATCAGGTGGGAATGACTCACAAACCTGTGGGGCATATGTAAATGTGTTAGGTGTCCTTGGGCTGTACTAAATTGAAGATGTAATCACAGCCTCAAGGTCAATATTATAGTCCCTTCATGCCACACACTATACAACATGTATACAGACAGTTAATTAAATTCAGAGTAGAATAGAATATAGACCAAATTAAAAAAACAATTCAGTTGTTTACATATAAACATGCATTCAGGAAATAATTCTGTAGGTCATTATTTAACTTTACACCAGATTGAATGTAACAACAGCAAGAAGATGGTGACGATAACACGGACAACATCTCCACACAAAATGCTGGACATCCAACACACATTGTCCTTTAACTGTGACAGTGTTTGTGCAGGAAGCCTTGTTAATACAGTCCCTCTATCTAAATGTTTATCTTATTATTGGTATTGTCTTCTGCTAACTTTCTGTATACTGTACTTGGAGCTGTAGGCATCTGGCTGTCTGAGGAGTAAGTGAAGGCACCAAACTGTCTTCTGATCTAGAGTGAGGCGTTCTCTCTCTGCAAATCCCACAGCACCTTTAAAGGGCTGATTGGTATGGACCCTCATGACATTCTAATTATTTATGGCATATAGATAAGATCACAGTTGTAAGTTAGATTACTAAACTGACATATTTTGGCAGTACATAAAACATTTCAAGGGGGTAAGCACAAAATTGCCTATGTAATGCCAATGCTTCCAGAATAAATACTTTCATATACATCTGAGAAACACTGCTGACATTTTTGCTTACCTTGTGTAAAACCTTATGTCATCATCTGAGGCAGCAAACCGCTCCAGCCCAAACGTGTTGCTAAAAGCCATTTCCTACATTTGTTTCTGGAGACTCGCGATTTCGGCTCAGAGGGCGAGATCAAGTGCAGCAGGCTCAGTAGTTGTGGTCTGGGTAATGTACATCCATAGGGGGGTCCTCAGTTTGGATTGTGTCTATGTCTGTGTTTGGTCGCTCTGTCCTTTGCCAAACTCCAGGCCGTGGGGGCAGAGTAAAGTTGTTCCACTGAAAAAGTACCGGCACAGCTCCATCTTTCAGAAGTCTGTCCGGCTGGAGTTGAAGGCTCGATCAGGTCTAGTCTGAACATGTCGGCTGCAGACTCTGATGTGATTTGTAATGGTGAAAAATAAAAAAATAATAAATAATAATTTTAACCACCCACCTCTTCTGTAGCTCAATGTCTTTGGGAAACGTGTAAAAACTAAGAAAAGAATTAAACCTAGCCGGGGCTGTACATTGCAGCACACTGCAGTGGTGTCCTGAAGTGCTGTCCTGGAGTCTCCGAGAAGACACTTTAGCTCGTTTTGAGGTCATGACGTAAAGTAAACATCGACACCCAAATCAGACTAAAATAAACAAAGGAACGAAACAAAATGTATTGAAAATTAATGTATTTTAGGCAGTTTTACAATATGACTAGCATTTCTACACTAGCACAGTGCTCGACGCTCGGCGGAAGTTGCCATGCGGCCTGAACTTCACCGGAAAAAGCGCCATGAGCTACCGTTCATGACCCCACCATACACGTTATCTGCCCTCTAGTGGTCACAGTGCGTAACTACACCTCCCAACAGGTTTTATTTTGACAGTAACGACCGGAAGTACAGCTGAAAAATTGTGTCTAACTTGATAGTAGCCTGCTCTTGTAGTTACTCATTGTGACCACAAGAGGGCGTAAACATGATGTTTGATGATGGTGACACAAGGATTTCCATGACAGGTTGTTAAACGAACAGCCAGCTTACAAATCAATGAGTTTTTAAATCATTTCTAACCTCCATATTCCTCCATATTTATAGAAAGTAAACTATTGAATCTGTTCACCAGAAATCTTAATAGGATATTCATTATTATTATTTTTCTTATTTCATTATTTATATATATATTTTTTAAAATCTATTTATTTATTTTATTTTATCAAACAAATTGCATGTCACTCATTTAACCAGTAAGAAAAACCACAGTGCAAAATAAAATTAAAAAAAAACATGCTGGGGGTTAGATCAAACAAATAATTAAAAAGGAAAAGAAAAGAGAAAAGAAAAATACAAAGGCACATTTAAATGCATCTATAATACTCTTAATATACTATTATGGCTATATTATAAAATATAGAAATTATATTATTATCTAATAATATGATTTAGTTAGTATAATAATTAGCTAAAACAAAGCTTTCTTTTTTGTGTTCATCTAAAAAATAAATAAAACAGTAGCAGACGATGTAGTTGCGCATTATGTCCACCGGGGGGCAGTATTTACATGTGCTTGTATTACATCGGATAATTAAACGCTTTGTGTAACCATAAGCTCTACCAAGCTTCAAGGCATACATAATAGCAGACTATTATAGATGTGCCTTAAATGTGACTTTAGTGTTTTTTTTTCTTTTAAATATTTCTGTCTTTCTGTCTACTATTTATTTAACCAAAAAACCCTGCCATGTTTGCTTTTTTTTTTACAACTTGTGAATATTTTTTTTCTTTTAATAATTTAAGTTTTTAATATAACCACTTAATGAAATATAAAAATAAATACAACAAAAATCATAAATCATGAACTCTCATGAAGTGCCCTTTAATTTGAATTGAGCTGATACTCAAATACATATCAGAAGTCAATTAATTACTTAAAACATTGTAGCACAGTTCCAGTGGGAATTACTATGCATCATCCATCTTGCCACTTTTGTAATGTTTGTGATTCAACTGCCAAGGTTTTTATTACAGTGCAATGAATAAATGACTTAAAATGCAGAAACAATGTCTTATGTTCATTTTTGAAGTCATTCAAGTACAAATAAAAATGTAGACACAACACAGTAGATAAGTACATGAGATTAAACTTGCTTTGTAAAAAATGATCTGTAAATTACACAAACCTTTCCAGATTAAACACAATCTTGTCCTACACTGGTAATGTGTGCACAGAACTGCCCTTGTATTAAGGTCACTATAATTCTTTCTCATGTTGTTATTTATAATACTTCCCTATTTAGAGCTTTGTGACTTATATTTGCACTGATCTGATATGCAGATTACTAATCACACAGCAACAGCTGAAATAGGTCATTTCACAAGTATGAATTATGATACTACGATGACTGACAAAACCATCTGAGCTGCAGGATGTGGAGGTTTTGAGTTCCCCTTAACTGTGTGAAATGAAGATGGGTTTTTTCTGTCCAGGTGCCAGATGTGTATTTCTACATAAAATAACTTGTATAGATTTAAAAAAAAAGGTATATTATGGATCCAATCAAAATGTGATCGACAATACTCATTTTCTCTTCACTTGAGCGTAGAGATCCTCTGGGACGTTTGCTGTCTCGGACACTTTGACCTGTGCATACAGTGGATCCTGCTGCTGTCCACTGTCCTGCTTTGAGGCCGAGGGCAGTCCAGGTCTCCGCTTGGAGAAGTCGATCTCTCCATAATGGATGTCTTCTTCTTCTGCTTTTCTTGCTGGCTCTGCAACAACAAGCTCTTCACCTGTTTGACTCTGTAAAATAATAAATCAAACAGGAGGTGCTGTGAGGTGAACCTTCAGCTGGATCCTTATTAAATAATAATAATAAATAATATTCATTGACTGGACTTTTGGACAAAATCAGGATGTAAACTAAAGCACAGAAACTGTGTCAGGTTGACTACACAGCCAATGTGAGCAGAACACACAGTGCAGTGCTGTACAGGAAGTTCAGTATGTTCTCACCTGAGTCTGTTGTGCAGTTGAATGTGTCGACTTTAAACGCCTGGAAGACATCAGATCAGTTATACTGTGTTTCAGGTTCAATATACAGTGTGCCAGTAAAGTGTCAAGACTGGTGGGAAACAGATATTATTGCATGTGAGTGAACTCAGTCAAGACTGCTGCTTTAATTTGTGATACTCACCAAACACAGACGACCAGGCAGATGAGTGCAATGATCCCAATGATTCCTCCAGTAACTGCCCCCCATCGTATTAAGCTATCTCCTGCTCAAAAAGAAAACATTGCAGAAGTTCAGCCTGTCACATTAAGTTTAGATTTATTGTTTGTATTAAAACCATTTCTCATGATATTCAAAGTGCTCTAAAGGGTACTACAACACACTAATAAAAACATACAGCAGATAAGATTTATGTCAGTGGATTCAGTAACGGTACTGACTATTTTTACCTTCAACAGTCAGATGGATCTTTGATGATGTTCCATTACCAAGATCATTTGTGGCCACACAGTAATAAACTCCTCCATCTGTCACATTAAAGCTGTAAAAGTCTCCTTCAGACTCATTGATGGGTCCATGTTTGCTGGTCTTGAACCAGGTGAAGCGGCTGATGGGAGGATTGGCTCTGCTGGAGCAGGTCAGGTTCACCCAGCTACCTGCTGACACCGGACCGGATGGACTGATGGACACTGAGGTGTCCTTGGGAGCATCTGAGGAAAATGTAACAAACAAAAGAAGAGGTGATAGATACATCAAAGCCTGAATAAGATCACTGAGAAAAGAGAGTCATGGGATCAGAAAGTTCTATCAGGAACTAATAAAATGTGTTGTCTTACATGAAACATTGAGAGTCTTTCTCTCCTCTGCTGTCTTATTGTTTCCTCCATCCACAGGATATGTGGCAGAACAGGTGATGGTGACTCCATCATGTTTATCTGACAGAGTGATGGTCTCCCGGATTTTAGTTGTGAAGGTTCGATTTGTGTTCTCCTCTGTTGTGTTGTGAGGGTGTTGTTGGAGATTCCAGGTGAGTTTAGGAGGGGAGTGTGGACAGGGAGTGGAAGCTGAGCAGGTTATAGTGACAGACACATTCTCCTTCAGATCACCTGAGATCTCAATTCTGGGGCTCAGAGGAGAATCTGTGGTTTAACACCAAACACAGATTTTACACTGAAGAAATACATCAAGTACAAATAACAGTTTGTGCTATTTTCAGTATCCCAAAATTTGACAACTCGATTACTTGATTACCTGTAACAATAGACTCCGTGTTTTAAAACAGAATTTAAAATTCATGCTAAAGTGTAAGATAAGAAAACGTGGGCTGTTAAGGACAAAACTGAATCTGATTTCACTTATTATTCTGAACAATAACATCATAGACTGATCAAACAAAATTCTCTTACCTTTAACTGTTATTTGAAGACGATCACAAACAGCTGTTGCCCTGTATGCACTATTCTCAATTCTGAAGTAGTATGTGTCTGCGTAATTTGTTTTTAAACTGGAAAATAAAGTGGTGCAGTTTCTCTCACTCAGGTTTCCAGTGATATTCATTGGGTAGGTGTTATCTGTCTTACTACTGTTGAAAATCACATTGTTTGGATTAGAGACAAAGTTGGAGTCACTTTTAATCCACACTCCAAAAAATGTGCTTGCGCCGTTGAAGTCTTTGTCTGGTTTAGGTGTAAAGGTACATGGGATTTGCAAACAAGATCCACTCAGTGCTTCTATGTTCTTTGGTGCAGTAATGGATACGTGTTGAGAACAATCAGCCAAAGCACCTGTAAAAACAAATCATGACAACTTGTGAAGCAAAAATCAGCATGAAGAGAAACTTCATGATACACAACTACAGTTCAGCAGCAGCAGGCTTGATCATTTTTCCTTTTAACATTGTCAGTATAAAGCATTTCACTTTGCAGTCAGGACATAAACAGTTGGAAAAAAATAACGTCCCCAAATAAAAGTGACTGAACAAACAGCTCACCTGAAACAAAGAAGACACTCAGTAACATGTTGGCTGTCACCATTTTCACACACTGGACTGTAATGACACTCATCACCTGGAGTTGACAAAAAGTCACTTTTCAATATTCTAATCAAAACATATTTTAAATGAAACATTCATGTTCTTTTAAAGCCACCTCAGATTCACACATTCAAAGTAGGAACTCTCCCTGTACAACCAGATGTTACTGTGTTATAATAGTGATTAATGATCTCTGTAGAGCTGCACTGAAAACAGATTAAATGTAAAATTAAAATGATGCAGCATGAGATATTTCTGCTTAACCAAAACACAACTAATAAAATGTGTCTATATGTATGTTTTTTTAGTGGAGTTCAAGAAAAGCTGCAAAATATAAAACATAAAGCAGTAAAAAAAGAAAAGATAAAACGTATAAAAAGCAGAAACATTTTACCTCACCAAATGAGCCTGCAGTCAAAGCGGAGAAACAATTAGTTTTAAAATCAGACAATTTGTGAGTTTCAGCCGAGCTGCTACAGACCCAGTACCTGACTTTGCTGCTAAGCCGTTGATTTAAAAGCAAACAGAGTTACTGTTTCAAGCTGGATATGAAATGACTGAAATACTGTGCAATATAAGATGTCATCACTCTTCCTGCTCACAGCCTGTGAGTGAGGAAGTCAGTTTTTGAGGCAGCATGAGCCCATCTGGACACAAAAAACTTAATTATTCTTAAAGATTAATTTTGTCACGACTCACTGCAAGCCTGTGTGCCTTATCTTCCTTTGCAGTACATATTGAATTGATCACAATAGTGACAAAATAAACAATTATAAAAATATTAACTTCATGTATTGCACAGACGTGGTTAAGTGGATATAGAATTGGCTTGACACTTTGGGCACCGGGGCATGAGCCCATTATACCCGTTCATTAATCCATCCATGAGTGGTTCCCTTTTTTTATCAAAAAAGAGGATGATTTAAGGCCATCAGTGCAGATAGCCAGTTTGTTGGACTAATATGCAAGAAAACATATCAAATATAACCAAAGAGTAATTTATTATACAACACACAGCTGTTTCCTCTGGAGCAAATCTATTATGATACTAGTTAATATAGTAAGGGTAGCAGCTGTGATTATATTGTGTTGTGGCTGACTGTTGTAGCTGAAAAAAAAAAATACATATTGTAGATCTACATATAGTTTATTGTTAACTATCAATCATCGCAAAATAAAGTTGTCATACTGCTGAAATGTTACCAGTTGTAACTGTGAGGTCAAATGCTGCAGTGATCCATGCCCTTTAGATGATCTACTCTTGCTGAATTTCTTATGTTTTAAACAGATCAGGACACTCTGTCTGCAGTGGTGACTGAGCTGGTAAACCTCCTTTTACTGGACCAGGAGGAAATTTGTTTTGGTTCCCTCATGTGTCAGAAATTATTTTTAAGAGAGCTGTGCTCTTTTTGCAGCACACAGTGCTAATTTTCACCTTTCATTAATGTTAACACATAAACAGACAGAAAGTCTTCCACTTCAAAGAATAAATAGTCGACAAATGGAGAGGAAACACAATGCTGTACTGATGAAGACATTAGGTTGCACAGAGCTGTGCAGCTAAAACAACTTCCCCTGTTTACTTGTAGTTCTCAGGTTTTTCTCAGAGCTCTGGTCAGTTTACATCTCACCACTTCTCTTTGGTGTTCTTACTCTGGTCCATCAGTCACACACAGTTGTATTTCGTCACATTTATACCATCAAAACAACATGAAATACAATAACTATAATGCTTTTTAATCAAAAACTGAAGTGTGAGCATCTCAGTTTTCTTGTACAGTTGAAAGTGATATTGATTAATGCCACCTCATGATGCCCAATGCCTCATTTTAGGTTCACCCAGCTTCCTGCTGACACCAAACCTGATGGACTGATGGACACTGAGGTGTTCTTGGGAGCACCTGAGGAAAATATGTAGTTACATGGGATGTGCCGACAAGTCCTTGTCTTGCATGTTAGTAGTTGTTACACATCTCTCTGTGATAGTTTTGTGTGTCTTTGTGGTGGCTTTGCCCTATTTCATACTTGCTGTGAGTCTCTGTGCATCTTAGTTTCTTAGTTTCTAATGAACATCGATGAATAATCAGCAGTTTTACTGATATAATTTCAGCTTGAGTCATGTGTTTTGTTTCTTTGCCAACAAAGACATCAGAAGTTCAGATTACTGATCGGCCCTAGACCAAGAGAACTCACTGCAGCATCACACAGTGCAGACATGGCTCATGTAAAACTCAAGAGTTTGTCATGACACATCATACTGTATACTGGTATCACTGTCATCAGATTTTCTGCTTTCTGGATTAATCAAACTCTCATATGAAGAGTAAACTGAACAGCTGTAGTGTATACAGTGCCATCTAGTGGTATGTGGAGGCACAGACCTGAAGATCAGACTCAGTATGAACCATGATATTCAGATATAGGTGTTTACAAAATTATTATTGTTTAAAAATTCCTGTGACATTAAATAACATGAACAACATTCAAGGTAGAATAAAGTGTTGTTTCTCCTTTGTAAAAAAGGAAGCTCGATTCAGTGTGCCCACCCTAATTATGGCCTCTCGGCTAGTTTGGCATAGCATTTTTATACATGTGTTTTTCACATTTTAAAAAGGACATTTTATGCTTTTCCTCATTTTATGTCATATATATGAATTTACAGTGTTTGATACTCATGTCAAACATGGCCGAAGTTTCAAATAATGAGGTGAACATATGTAAAAGTAATCTCTGTGAGCGAAAACCTCAGGCCTCAGACTGTTGTGAATACTTTTCAACATTTTTTTTCTACTTTTAGGACAAGTTGATGTCAGCTCGTGACAGATTTCTTTATATAGTCATCTGCTCCAGGCACGCTACTACAAGTGTTAGCATAAGGGAGCCTACAATGCTACATTAAGCTAAAGCATTTAAAGTATGTAATCTTTTTTTTTTAAACAATATTTTATTAGGTTTTTACATATAATAAAAACATACAAATAACAATGACCACAGTAATAGCAATAATGTATAAATGTACTATACAACAAAACAATCAAAGAAAGAAAATAAATAATAATAGCAAAGTATGTAATCTTAGTAGAAACTTAGTCCTCTGTGGTGTGACTGTCAAAGAGGGAAGTAAACTAAATTAGCTTATGTTAATTTGCAAGTCTATCTCACATTGCAACAAGAAAAGGGAGCTTTGAAACATGATGTAAAATGACACAGTGATTGTGTTGTCTTCTTCTTAAAGTGTTTGTGTCATTCCAGCTACAATTTGTGTTACATATCAACACAAGAAGTTCAGTAACATGATCAAATGTTGGTATTGTCAGGAGTCCCTCTGGTCTACGAGTCTTTCAACTGGCAACATGGAGTCTTTGTTGGAGCTGCCATGAGGTCTGAGGCCAGAGTGGGGATGACATGCAGCAAAGGGCTGGGTTTTGTCAACAGGTCCCTCTGCAGCAACATCAGAACAGCTGTAGCCACACAGTTCTGTGCAATCAGATATCTTCATCACTCCATTGCTCCCATCACTTACTGTCCATTTGTCGACTATTTATTCTGTAAAGTGGAAGGGCCCAAAGTGTCAGGGCCCCCCCTGACCTTTCACTCAAATTAACATGTACTGACCAGAAAGTGATTCAAAATAACACAAAGAGACACAAAACCACCACAGAGAGAAAAACAAAAACAAAACAATATCAAAAAGAGTCAGAGTACTATAAAGTCTGTCTTGCTCCTATAGCAGAGATGGTGGGGCCTTTTGCACGTCTGTGCCCAGAGGTCCATTGTCTCATAATTCACCCATGGTACAACTAAACTACTCGAAATGAAACTCACTCTATATATAACATGTCAAAATTCTATTTTCTTAACTACGTGTGCAATACATGAAGTTCATACTTTTATGTTTTTTTGGATATGTCACTATTGCGATTAATACAGCATGTACCACAAAAGAAGATAAGGCACACAGGCTTGCAGTGAGTCATGTGAAAATTTATCTTTGAGATAAATGAGTTACTTGCATCCTAATGAGCTCAAGTGGCCTTAAAAGCTGACTTCCTCATTCACAGGCTGCGAGCAGGAAGAGTGACTACTTCTTGTATTGCTACAGTATTTCAGTCATTTCATGTAGCAGCTCAGCTGGAATTTACAAATTGTCTGATTTTTAAACCAACTGTTTACTTTTTATGTTTTTTGATGCTTTATGTTTTATATTTTGCAGCTTTTCATAAACTTCACTGAAAAATACATTTTAATTTTACATTTAATCTGTTTTCAGTGCAGCTCTACAGAGATCATTAATCACTATTATAACACAGTAACATCTGGTTGTACAGGGAGAGTTCCTTCTTTGAATGTGTGAATCTGAGGTGGCTTTAAAATAACATGAATGTTTCATTTAAAATATGTTTTGATTATAATATTGAAAAGTGTTTTTTTGTCAATTCCAGGTGATGAGTGTCATTACAGTCCAGTGTGTGAAAATGGTGACAGCCAACATGTTACTGAGTGTCTTCTTTGTTTCAGGTGAGCTGTTTGTTCAGTCACTTTTATTTGGAGACGTTATTTTTTCCAACGGTTCATGTCCTGACTGCAAAGTGAAATGTTTTATAATGACAATGTTACTGCTGCTGCTTAATTGTAGTTTGTGTATCATGAAGTTCCTCTTCTTGCAGATTTTGCTTCACAAGCTGTTTATCATGAGTCTGTTTTACAGGTGCTTTGGCTGATTGTCCTGCTGATTCAGCCCTATTCATTACTGCACCAAAGAACATGGAAGCACTGAGTGGATCTTGTTTGCAAATCCCATGTACCTTTACATCTGATCCAAAAGAGGAGTTCAACAGTGCAAGATCATTTTTTGGAGTGTGGATTAAAAATTACTCCAACTTTGGCTCCAATCCGAACAATGTGATTTTCAACAGTAGTAAGACAGTTAACACCTACCCAATGAATATCACTGGAAACCTGAGTGAGAGAAACTGCACCACTTTATTTTCCAGTTTAAAAACAAATTACACAGACACATACTACTTCAGAATTGAGAATAGTGCATACAGGGCAACAGCTTTTTGTGATCCTCTTCCAATAACAGTTAGAGGTAAGTGATTTATTTTGTTTTATCGGTCTATGATGTTATTATTTACAATAGAAAGTCAAATCACTTTTCTGAACATCATGCTTCATGATTCGAACCTTCGCTGTAAAGTTAAATGATGTATGAATATCAGTATCTGCCAGAGTTCAAACCTATATGAAAAACATGAAAAATCATGTTTTGATTTGTTTTCACTCATTGACATTTATTAGCAGTGAAGAAAAAAATCTACATGGCAATATTAGTATCTATTTCACCTAATTCTATATTCAGTTGACTACGAGTTAAGTTTATTTATAAAATAATCATCAGAAGAAGTCAGTTTAAATCATTTCACTGTAAAATCTGTGTTTGGTGTTAAACCACAGATTCTCCTCTGAGCCCCAGAATTGAGATCTCAG